GGGACAGTGTATGAGGTAACGGCTGATGCTGGCTGCCAGACCCTCCGCACGGTCCTAAGCCGCCCCTGCCTGCCCCTCCCTTGTATGGAGGATGGGGAACCACCAGCATCACTCCCAGCTCTGCCTGCCCTGCAGTGGGTGCTGGGTGGGTCCTGCTGACCAGGGAGGGGATACGGGAAGGGAAAGGTAGGCTTTGGTGTGTTAGCTCTGTACCCCGTGCTGTGTGAGAGGGAGCTAGAGCATGCCCCTCCAGCGGGAGGGTTGGCAGGCTCACCCTGGGTGGGGGGAGAGGGTGTCAGACCCCTCCGTGGGTCTGGGGTGCTCTCTGCACCCGGGAGATGTGGGGTGGGCACGGCTGCAGAGGTGGGCACTGCCCCGGGGTGCCCGTGTCCTGTGGTCCTCACAGTGCCTATGCTGTCACCATGAGCCACGCGCATGTCCCCTGGCCTGTCCTCTGAGGGGACAGAGATCAGGGACACGGGGACACCTGGGTGCTCCAGACACTGCCTGGGATATAAAGTATCTGGGCTGGAAAGAGAGTAATTTGGGGGATTGGATAGCGATGCTGAGAGCCGGGGGGTGTCCAAGCCCGACTGGTGGGGTGGTGGGCATGTGTCTGTCCAGGGGATAAAGGTATGTGTAAGGGGCTGGATATATGCATCTGTCTGTCCGTCTCTGTACAGGCACAGCGGGCTGTGGTGTGACTCCCAGAGGCTGCTGTCTTCTAAAGCACCTCCATCCCTGCGCGGGGGAAGCTGCCAAGCACAGGCAGAGCGTCTCTGGGGAGGGGCAGGCAGCCCCTGCAATGGAGGGGGGGCTCCCAACGCTGCCCCCACACAGGTGCCATGGTTGGGAGAGGGGCAGGAGGTGGGGGACTCGGGGCAGAGAGGGAGGTGGTGGAGGCGTTTGGGCCGCAGGATGGGCTCCACAGCCCAAACCACGCACCCTCCTGGAGCTCCCGTGGGCCTGGGGCCAGGTCGCTGGGACCCCCCCTAAAAGCACTGCGGAGAGCAGGGTCCTACCCCTGCCCCCAGAGCAGCAGCACTCTGAAAAACCATTAAGCTAAATCAAGCTAATGCAAGTGAGAGCAGGAGGCTGGTACGGGCTGGTACGGGCTCCCTCTGCGGGCACCCGTGGGGAGGCAGCATGTGGGGCTGAGCGGGGCTGGGCAGCCTCTCCTGGGCTTTTTTGGGAGGTGCAGCTATGGGTCGATCTGCCCTCACCGGGAGGAGGATCCCCGCAACCTGCTGTACTGATGCCTGCAGGTATTTCGGGGTGACCCCCCCCCCATCACCGTCACAACCCAGGCCATGGGGACCTGGTTGGACCCAGAGCTCCCGGATGATGGGGACAAACCACCTCCTTGGCCGGAGGGTTCTCCTCCGCGGGGAAGGTTTGGTCTGGGGAGTCCCGCAGGATCCCCACCCTGCTGTCGCCTCCTGCCCACGCTGCTCAAAGGT